TTAAAAGATCCTGATATGTTTGAAGATTTACGAATAAATCAGTTATGAATATGACCAGTCCAAATTTGGAGCAAAGCTTTCTAACTCTAATTATCATGAATCCGCTGGCAAATTGTGCTTAAAGTATAAAAGAAATTGTTTGGGTAAACACAATGGCGAAAGAATTACGTTCCGTCTCTCTTTTCAATTAAAACATATATAAAAATAAAGGTAACAGGTATATGTCGTTATGTTCAATATAAAACACCTTTGATAAATTGAGCGCGCGGCGAGTACACAACGAAACTGCGGCCAGTACAAAACGAGACTGCGGCGAATACACAACAAGACTTCGGCGAGGACAAAACGAGACTGCGGCGAATACACAACTAGATTGCGGCGAGGACAAAACGAGACAGCGGCGAGTACACAACGAGACTGTGACGAGGCTAAAATGAGACTGCGGCGAGTACACAACAAGACTTCCGCGAGGACAAAACGAGACTGCGGCGAGTACACAACGAGACTGCGGCGAGTACAGAAGGAGACTGTGACGAGGACAAAACAAGACTGCGGCGAGTACACAATATGACTTCAGCGAGGACGAAACAAGACTGCGGCGAATACACAACAAGATTGCGGCCAGGACAAAACGAGACTGCGGCGAGTACACAACGAGACTGCGGCGAGTACACAAGGAGACTGCGGCGAGTACACAACGAAACTGCGGCGAGGACAAAACGAAACTGTGGCGAATATACAAGGAGACGTCCGCTTTGTAAAAGACTTGTATACTATTCGATTAACAGAATGGTTTATGTGGATCTCGTTCGGACGTACATCTATTATTTGATTGATTAATTGATCATATTATTTCTAACAGACTTTAACGCGCCTTGCACATTTAATTTTCACCATGAGAATTATGATTACTCATGCTGATCTCGTTTCATGATTAGGTCTAAATGAATTTTAGAAATTTGTGTAGAGAGTTGACAAAGTTATTTTCAGTTTCCTTTCGATATAGATTTTAAAGACTTGCAACTTTGTTTATTTAGAACAAAATTTTTTCTTCCATAGTTGTGAAGTTGTATACGTTAGATAATTAAAGTCGAAGTGCAACTAAAGTAATTTAGCTTTTAGCGTTTTAAGAGTAATAAAATTACAAGTTGCCTATTTAATTAGCAAAATATAGGTATGCTCGACTAATTTATAGTCTGCTGCTTCTATAAATGTAAAGTTCCTGGGTAAGCTTTTGGTTTTTAAAGGCAATGCAGCTCGTGTATTAATTAGACACAAATTAAGACTTTCGTTTGCAATTTGAGCGTATTCAAATTGCAGCAGGAACCATAATTCACTTTAAAAAGACATTTGGAGTTGCTGCGATGGTGTTCTTTGACCATAAAGAATTTAGTTGCTGTTGTTTTTTGATCTCCAATTCTGTGTAGCAGCAGGTAATAATAACTTATTTTCATAATCTATTGTTGTTTCTTTACTGAAGTAAAATTCTTAATTAGCCATAAAAATAAATAATATTTTTTGTTTACAGAACCAACTAACTCCATTAAAAAAAAAAATTACCTGACATTTGAAATAAAATTCTGTTGTTTTAGGTAAGTTTAACTAAAAATGTAATTGATACATAATTCGGTGATTTTTGTTGTTTTGGTATAGACACTTTTATAATATAATAAACTTCTTATCGTTTGGATTCTAATGTGGCGTGCTGATGTTAACCGACACTTCGATAGAAAACTATCCCCCTATCCCTTTCGTATTATTCTTTACTTTATTAAGCGACTAAGGACTTCAAAAGGGACACATTTCAACGAAAGTTCTTACCGTACAATTAGAAAATCCGAAGCAATATTTAAGGTAGTTCTGTCCTCATGGTATCTAATATTCGCAAACATTAAATAATTAAAATAATTCCAAACCTTCAAAGTTATTACGTAGCCTAACCTTTTCTAAAGACTACATAAAAGTTGCTTAGTAGATGAAGTTTCTCAATACATTTATCTAATATTTAGTCTACCATGCAATTATAAGTTTTTAAAAAATAGAATAGGTTTAATTTTTTAATTTATATTTTTCAAATTTTATTCTTCCACTAGTTAAGTTTAAAATAGAAGCACATTCTCCACTATCTAAATAACAAGTAATTAAGAAAAAAACTGGATGTAAAATAGTTTTTTTAGCTGCAGAGACGACTGCAATTTCAAAAACACTCTTGTATAATTGGAGACTTAATTTAAATTTCAACTAAGCATTACTTCAACTTATTCCGTCTATTGTGATGTTAATTAAATGGCTTTCGTGAGGCTTTTTCGTGTCTGTAATCAATTATTTACCCTTTTCTCGATGTTAAACAAACTGTGTTAGAAATTGAATGTCACTGTTGGGCTTGACATTTTTGATTATGTTGGAATGTAATGAATAATTAACATATATTTCGTCGTGTCGCCTTTAATAAAAAGAAGTCACTCGTGAACGGTTAATTTAGAAATTCAAAAAAGATTGATAAAGGTGTGTTTGGAGCGCGGCGTTGTACGGGTGCGAAACATGGACAGTGGGCGCGGCGGAAAAGAAAAGGTTAGACGCTTTCGAAATGTCGTGTTACAGGCGAATGATGAGGATACCGTGGATGGAGAAGGTTAGAAATGAAAAGGTATTACAAAGAAAAGGAGAACAGAAGAAGATTAGTAAAGCATAAAACTCAATTTCTGAAATACTTATACATTTAGAAGAAATAGAGGAACGCGGGAGGCCATTCTAGCTTTATGGGTAACAATAGAGAAAACGATAAATAAAATGGAGGCAGTATTGACAAAACAGTATTGTATGAAAATAAATAAAAGTAAAACAAAAAGTAGGGAAAAAGCGAATATAAAGATAGGAGACGAAAAATTAGAAGAAATGGCCGATTTTAGGCATCTAGGAAGTTACATCCATGTTCGCGAACGGTTAATTTAGAAATTCGAAAAAAGTTTGTATGTTTGGAGCACGGCGCTGTACGGGTGCGAAACACGAACAGTGGGCGCGGCGGAAAAGAAAAGGTTAGAAGCGTTCGAAATGTGGTGTTACAGGCGAATGACGAGGATACCGTGGATAGAGAAGGTTAGAAATGAAGAAGTATTAAAAAGAGGACAGAGGACTTAATGGAAGTCAATAAGAAATAGGCGAGATAGGTTAGTAGGACACCTTCTCAGGCATGAAAATCAGAGACATATTAGAGGCAGAAACAGGAGTTAGGAGGGGTAGAGGTAGACCTAGGTTAGATTACTGTTCGCAAATAGTTAAGGATGTGGGTTGTTCTCGTTTTAGGAAAATGCGAAGCTTAGCTCAGAATAGGAAAGAGTGGAGGTACGTGTCCAACCAGTCTTAGGACTGAAGACCTTAGGATGATGATGATTTCAAAAAAAGGGTGTTTTCTCAATTCCCTGATTAAATTAGGCGATCTATTCTTAATACACAGCTACCTATTATATCCACATAATTTTTGTGATAGTTTAATGGCGTTGGCTGTATTATTTTTGTGAGGTTGTTGTAAAGATGATGTTGCTCGACGAGAAAAATAAAAGATAGCCTACCATTTCATCAACGGTTGGAAATTTCTTCAAGTAACCCGTGAGGGAGAAGACGGCAGCAATCTTCGTCATGACAAAGGCCGCTCCTGCTGTAATGTAGCACCAGCCGTAGCGGTAATCGTAATTATATCCAGCGGACGAGGAAATTTTGCTCTGGTACTCCGTTGCCTCTAATAGCGTCTCTGACAAAACCGACGCAAACACTATTAAACCAGTTCCTAGTGAGAGGCCTGAAATAAATAGAAAATTGAATGAGAGCCACCATTTACTTCGAAACGACCGCAGAAATCAAGTTTGTCACAATAAAACCGACGATATAACGACTTTCGTAAGTATTCTATTGAAAAACAAGGAAAACATTTTCAAGTCTTTCGGTTACTTCCATTGGCACAAAAAAAAATCAGTTGAAATTACTGAATGGTGAGGGTTTCGCGAGTCCCAGAAAATGCTCAAACTAATGTTGAGTTTGGCAAGTTAATGCCAGTTTACATTACTAGATTGTAACATCAAATATAAGAAAAAAGGAACTTTACCACTGTTTGAATAAAAGGATCAACCAAAATGTCCTCGGAGTTTGTATTATTTGTTCCTACACCTAGATCACACAGGGGTGAAAGATATTTTTACTTTTTTCAAGTATCTTGCACTTTTTTTCGTTAAAACTTCAATGTATGCATTGGAGAAAGGGTAAGTTATTAGTTTTCATAACTCTCACGACTATCGACAGTATCTTCTTAAAAAGTTATAAGAAGCTCACATTTATGACAGAAAATTATAGCATTTAAAACAATTTTTGTATTGTTTTGAAATTGCAAGGATTTAACATTTGATTTTTTGACACATTTAGTTCTGCATCTTCAAATAATGTATATGTGTAATTTTAGGCACTGCGTTGATGGTATTTTTAATAATAATGTAAGTACGAGGGCGGTTCAATAAGTACCCGTGTTTGAAGACAGAGGACGTTCCTGAGGGAAATTGGTGTTGTCATCGTGTGCTGCCATATATCAAACCACGTCAAAACGAATTTCAGACTGATTGATAGGTTAGTTTGGATTTGGCAGCCATTCCACTCAGACGTGCTTCGTTATTTTCGCTAAGATGGAAAAAGAGCAGGATCGTTCGGTAACTGGCTTTTCGTTTTTGGATGGGAAAAAATGCGAGGAAATGAAAACAAAGTTGGATACTGTTTATGGAGACATTTCGCCATCTACGACCATAGTTAGTTATTGCTTCAACGAATTTAAACGTGGGCAAAGATCCGTTTTTTGATAGAAGCGACCAGGAAGCCTGGCAAACGTTGTTACCGAGGAAATCGTTCTACGGATTTTTTAGGAAAAGGAAGAACGATCACTGGACAATACTACAGTGAGTTATTGGACAGCTTCGACAAAAAATTGAAGGAGACACGGACGCATTTGACGAAAAGGAAGGTGCGTTTTCAACACGATTATGCACCGGCACATTCATCAGGAGTGAGTGCATGAATTACGTTATGAATTTGCTGCCGCACACCCCGTACTCACTCGATTTGACTCCCTGTGACTTCATCTTGTTCCCTACCATGAAGAAATGACCAGCGAGAAATAAATTCAACTCAAACGAGAAAGTCATCGCCGAGACAGGGGGCGATTTTGGAGAGTTCGACAAATCTTATTTTTTGGAGGGGTAAAAAATGGCAGGGTCGTTGGGAGAAGTGTATCTTTCTAAAAGGGGACTATGTTGAAAAATAAAAAAACAAATTTTAAAAAAAAGGTGTCTTCATGTCTAACACGGGTACTTATTGAACCGTCCTCGTATGTGTTTTAAAATTGAATACGTTTCCTATCATTTCTTTCTCTTTCAGATAGATTTACAAAATAAGTAGAAAAATAGAATATTAAAAGTCGATCTGAGTAAGGGATTTCGAACGGAATTTATTTTTCTTCTAAGAAAAATATGAATTCGTTTTAGGCTTTACAAAGCGATCGGGTTGTCAGTGTGTACGTCTAAATTTAGACTGGTATATTTAGTGACAGATTTTCTTTTCGAATCTGATTTTTTTCTTCTTCCACAGAGATATGTAGACAATCGCTACTGAATTTAGCCTGTGAAGTAGAAAATTGAAATGCGTAAACGATTGAACCGTGGGCGCGCGCGATTCCAAATGAAAGATTGTTGTAACCAAACAGCGAGAGAAATTTTCCGAGGTTAAAACAACCACTTATATCAATACGTTACAATACTTTTCCGTTTCTTCAATTTTCCACCTCATAAACCTGATCGCTTTGGCTTGTGTTTGCTTTCCTTTAAACGATAGAATTCCTTACTGACTGAAAATTTATCCACATGATTTGGTTTCGACATGCTTTTAATCAAAAATGGTTGCAGTTTTTAAAAATTATAGCACTTTATAATCATTCCAATTACAAAATGTCAAATGACGAAAGACTTTGCTATGTACTGCTTTAGTTTGGTTAAGTTAGGTTAGGTTACGTTAGGTTAGCAGAATACGTGTTCTCTTGGCAGATAAATATCTTTATAATGGTGTTATAAAACATTAAATACTGCAATTGACAGTAGGCTCATATTATATTTTTAGAAAGTACCCATGGAGCATACGTAATCCTAAAATGTAGCATCGTGCTGCAGATGGCGTTTACTGCGCCATTTGTAGTATTTTCTAAAACGCACTGTTAAGACAGCAGGTAAAAGTTGATCTGTGTTCTGTCGGAGCTGCCTGCGACGCGCTGATGAGATCCAAAAAGATCGAAATCGCGATCCGCGTCTGGCAGTTTCGACAGAATACAGACCACTTCGAATTAT